CCCACATGCACAGGCATATTATATTTTAGCAGCATTGTGATATCTGCTGTTGGGTAAAAACTGTTCTTGATTACGGTTGCTTATTTTAGATGTTTAGATGGTTTAGATGTGTTTTGGATGTTCATTAAACTATGTAGTTAACATGAACTGTTGAAGCAAAGTGCTTTGTAGTTGTACAGTATATGATGTGTTAAACTGAATGTAAGTAGACTATGATGCATAATGTGGTGGTTTGTGTGTGCAGGTTTGAGAGCACAGTGCAAATCAGTAAGCTGCAGGACCTAGTGAACAGGAGTAAGCTGGCTCGCTGCAGAGGGAGGTTCGTTTGTCCTGTCATTCTCTACAATGGCAAGGTACTTCTCCACAACTGTCAACTTTACACACTCTCCTCAGTTACATTCAGTTCTCTCTTCACTTTAGTAGTAGTAAGTTTTATAGCGGTTCTTAGCGTTTCCTTTTATTGTACTCTTTCATCCCTCTCTAAAATTCCTAAGTTCATTTGATATTTAAAGGGGCAGCTAACTTGGTGCAGAATATTAAGAACATTTTTCTGAAAGTATAGGCAGATGTTATGCTAGACTTTTTTTGTTGTCTGTCATTATGATGGACAGGATCATAAAAATTCCATCATAATGTAATATTACTCGGCAGTTAAATTTAAGATAAAAAAATGTAGCCTATCTAATGGCATTTAATATTCATTCATTTTCATTTAGTTTTTTAATAATTGATATATGGAGCAAGCTAATGTGCAGCCACTTTTCATGTCAACACGACTTTTTATCCCCGCAATGAGTGGAAGCCACTAAAAACACTGCAGCCATTGTGCATACACAAGCAAGCAAAAATGAAGACTGCAATTTTACAAAATTGAACAATTGCTGAGAAAATATGAACAACCTATTTACATTGAGTAGGCTATCTTAGCAACATCAACATGGCTAACCATAACACAATGGAAACTCCTGGGCTGGAAACGTGAATGAAGCCACTCACATCCACTTGTTACAACGTGGCTGTATCATACACTCCTACAACACTCTGACACTCATGACACTGATAATATAGTTATTGACTCACTGTGGTTATTACTAGTAAATTCTTCTTTTGTTAGACCATCTTGGTAGAACAGTGTCAGTGGTGGACAACTGAGCTCTCAGAGGTGACTGACGCTACAAGCCAGTTGGACCAGCCACTGCTTAACCTGAGCAAATACAGTGCAGATGGTGTGTGTCAAGCCATGTATCTGCTCTTTACCTGGGTGAGGATAGCGTTCAGAGATGCTTTGTGTAGGGTAGGTTAGGTCTGGAAAATGGGTTTGGTTATTGTGGGGCTCTGAAAACTTATGAGGACATGGCCAGACACCCCCCTCTTTGGGGCTGAATAATAGGTAAATATCATTTAACTCATATACTAAGCTTCCATATGAATGCTCTTCCTTTCTTTGGCACATTTATTTATGTATTATTGACTGATTTCTTTAGTAATCTCTTTTTTAAGTCAGTTTGCCCCAGTGCATTACACACACTCTATTTTTGATGTTGAGTGTTTATAATGCATGCATTAATGTAATTTCATTTAGGGGCACAAGTGTCCCTTAAAATAAATGTTACATCGAGCCGTGTGGCCAAATCCAGGTATGTAGAGCTTGTAGAGACTTACTCAAGAAGAGTGGAAGCTGTAAGTGGTGTCAAAGGGGCTGCTACACAGTACTGAATTATAGCTCTGAATACCTTTGTAAATGAGATGTTTTATTTTTAATATATTTGTGAAAATGTCTAAAAACATGTTTTCTCTTTGTCATTATTGGTTATTGAGTGTAGATTGGTCATTAAGGACAATGTAAAAATGCCATTTTCTTCCATTTTCAAATGAAACTGACCATACAACACAGTTCACAAAATGTCAGTGGCTTTGAATACTTTCTAAAGCCACTATACGGCCATGGCCAAAGGTTTTGAGAATGACTCAAATATTAATTTTCACAAAGTCTGCTGCCTCAAAAGTGTTTTTAGATCTTTTTGTAAGATATTACTATGGTATACTGAAGTATAATTACAACCATTTCATAAGTGTCAAAGGCTTTTATTGACAATTACATTAAGTTTATGCAAAGAGTCAATATTTGTAGTGTTGACCCTTGTTTTTCAAGACCTTTGCAATTCTGGCATGCTGTCAATCAACTTCTGGGCCACATCCTGACTGATGGCAGCCCATTCTTGCATAATCAATGCTTGGAGTTTGTCAGAATTTGTTGGTTTTTGTTTGTCCACCTGCTTCTTGAGGATTGACCACAAGTTCTGAATGGGATTAAGGTCTGGTGAGATACCTGGCCATAGACCCAAAATATTGATGTTTTCTTTCCCGAGCCACTTAGTTATCACTCTTGCCTTATGGCAAGGTGCTCCGTCATGCTGGAGAAAGCATTGTTTGTTACCAAACTGTTCTTGTGTGGTTGGGAGAAGTTGCTCTCGGAGGATGTTTTTGTACCATTCTTTATTCATGGTTGTGTTCTTGGGCAAAATTGTGAGTGATCCCACTCTCTTGGCTGAGAAGCAACCCCACACATGAATGGTCTCAGGATGCTTTACTGTTGGCATGGCACAGGACTGATGGTAGCGCTCACCTTTTCTTCTCTGGACAAGCTTTTTTCTGGATGCCAAAAAAAAAAAAAAAAATCAGAAATCAGAAAGGGGATTCATCGAGAAAATGACTTTACTCCAGTCCTCAGCAGTTCAATCCCTGTACCTTTTGCAGAATATCAGTCTATCCCTGATGTTTTTCCTGGAGAGAGGTAGCTTCTTTGCTGCCCTTCTTGACCAGGCCATCCTCAAAGTTTTCGGCTCACTGTGCGTGCAGATGCGCTCACACCTGCCTGCTGCCATTCCTGAGCAAGCTCTGCACTGGTGGTAGCTCAATCCCACAGCTGAATCAACTTTAGGAGACACACCTGGCACTAGCTGGACTTTCTTGGGCTTCCTGAAGCCTTCTTCACAACAATTGACCCTTTATCCTTGAAGTTCTTGATGATCTGGCAAATGGTTAATTTAGGTGCAGTCTTTCTAGCAGCAACATCCTTGCCTGTGAGCCCCATTTTGTGCAAAACAATGATGGTTAAGTAACCATCATTAACCAATCAGTCTGTTAACCAAGTAACCATGGTTAACAGAGGAAGAACAATGATTTCAAGCACCACCCTCCTTTTAAAACTTCCAGTCTGTTACTCTAGTTCAACCAGCATGACAGAGTGATCTCCAGTCTTGTCCTCATCAAAACTCTCACCTGTGTTAATGAGGGAATCACTGACATGATGTCAGCTGGTCCTATTGTGGCAGGGCTGAAATGCAGTGGAAATTGTTTTTTTGGGTTCGAGTTCATTTTCATGGCAAAGAGGGACTTTGCCATTCATTTGATCACTCTTTATAACATTCTGGAGTATATACAAATTGCCATCATAACAACTGAGGCAGCAGACTTTGTTAATATTTGTGTCATTCTCAAAACCTTTGGCCATGGCTGTATATGAAAATGTATTGAATTTTTGTTGACTTTGTGGTTAAGACTGACCATATACTAAATATTAAAGGACTTGGTTCCAGATAAGAGGCAAAAAAAGTTGATCCGGGTATCCCTAATCATTACACCTGAGAAATTATACTGGGTTCTGTCACATTTACAGATTCATTTGAATAATCCTTTGAATCACAATACAAGGGTGTGTCACAGGGAGTTTGAGGGATTCCTTATTTAATGATGCAAACAAACTCCAGAGATGTAGCGCTGCCTCCTGTGCTTAATCTTGTTCCACTTGTGGATGAAATCGCACATATCAGTCATCTTGTTTCTTAGTTACTTGAAATTGAATTTTTTTTAATATTCAAGTTTGGGCTGTAATTTTCTTCCTACTTTAGGAAGGCACCACTCTTCACGTAGCATATTTCTAAACAAGATAGCAAGTGCAAGATCATGAATACAATCGGTGCTTATTTAGTTACAAATTCACCCATTAAGACTATCTGTATATTTATATTTTTCAGTGAGAAATTTAAATAACATATTCAGCTTTACGTGCTCTAAAACAAAATGCAGCCTTGTTGAAACTGTACTTAAAGTATTGTAACTTGTACTAAAACAGGCTGTAACAGCCACAAAACCAAGGCTGACTTTGGAGCTAAAATAAGAATTACATCCAAGTGTCACCACCTAGAATGACAGTTTCAGATATTCTGTGGCTGCCACTTCCTCTTTTCTTTCTTTCATGTGACAAGATATTATTTTATGTTGGCACAAGCAAGAAGCTTTTTTTGATCCTGCATTGTTTTTTCCCTTATTGCAGCATATTTGCCGGTCATCAACTCTGGCAGGCTGGGGGGAGTTGTACGGACGCACTGGTTATAACTACATCTTCTCAGGTACACACATATGTATATATATACACACACACACACACAGACACACACACACACACAGACACACACACACACACAGACACACACACACACACAGACACACACACACACACAGACACACACACACACACATACAATCTAGCAAACACAGGGGAAGCTGTGGCTACCATACTGTATTTTCCATGGAAGGTTTCAGTTCCATGTGTGCTTTCTGACCCATGAGCAGTTGTCAGATATCTGTCAAACCTTTGCTGTTGGGACTAAGTTTTCCTCTGAGTGGAAGGGGATAGGCATCATTCAGTCATAGTACAGCAAAAACCAGAGTCAAAGGACAATTTTTTAATCTCAGCCAGAATGGTTTGGTGTGTATCAAATGTCTTGTGGTGTCTGACCAGCAGTCCAACACCCAATATTGCCAGGCAGTAGGTGAAAGAAATACTGTTGGGGCATTTATATATGTAAAAAGTTATATTCTCTCTATAATTGCTTGATTTATGCTTTGATAGAAGCTTACCTTTTCATATTGGAATAACAGATTGTAAACTGAGATTGTTGTTACAATGTTATACTAGAGTCATCATTGCTTCTGTTAAGTTTGATTCAAATTCTTGATAAAGTTTTAATGACGTGGATTTATTAATGACATGATGACGTCATCGAATTGCAGTGTGATGTCATCTAGTGACTTTTCCAGCAGGCTTTAGCTACTTTTCTTCGATATTAGTTGCCAATACTCCAAAATAACAATCAGAACATTGTTCTGAGTCTTTTCAGTCTCTAAAACTGATTGGTCTAAAGCTGACATCCAAACAAACCCCCCCCCCCCCAAACAAAAATTTTTTTGTGTTTTTTGGGCAGTGATGACACGTGGACAGAGTCAGAGGAGGTTCCAGAGGATGACAGTACAGTCAGGTAAAATTACTTTAACTAGATAAGTGTACAGTGAAGATCAGACACTGTAAGCTAAATCACCACATTACACTAATTGCTTGTGAGGACAAAAAACTGATTGAATTCTAAAAAGTGATGTTACTAATTCCTTTTCCTTTTTAAAATGATAGACAACTCTCAAGACATCTCTCTTTAAAGAGAAACATCTGCCAAAGAGTTTTTCTCCTACCAGTAGCTTTCTTGTTTGATTTTTGTTATTTTCCTTCACACACTGACCTCTACCCTCTGTCTCCTTGTCCTCAGGAATGGGGACTCCCAGCTCTTTGACAAGGTCCGAGGCCATGATATTAAGCTGCTGCGTTACCTCTCAGTTCGATACATCTGTGACCTGATGGTGGAGAACAAGAAGGTTAAGTTTGGCCTAAAGTAAGGAACAGCACAGTCTAGTTTCATCCACACTCTGGATGTTGTTTAGGTCACTGTTTACACCTGATTCTGTAGAAAGAAATCCTATCGAAGGCATCTGACTATTGACTCAGTGTATTTTATGGTCTGCTTTAGATTTTTGCCAATTCTGCCCATAATTCATATAGGAGATTGGGTGTGATTATATCTGATCTGGAGATTCTTGAGCTGTGGTTAAATTTTATGTAGCTCTGTGTAAAGGCCCAGGTAATCATGGTCATATCAATCCTCTTATTAGTGGCTAATTCAGTCATAGTAGCTGATAGCAGCTGTTAGGTTACATGCGGAACAGATGATACTGGTAGTATTTTGGGAATACTGAAGTACATATTTTTGCCTAAAAATACACACTGAATGATCAAAGAGCATGTTGTCTGCCAGGAAAGGAGCACCGAGCGGTTATACTCCAGTGACAATAACTCCTTATATGAACCCTTTGCAATCACCTGCATTTGTATATGATCAGATCTTCTTCTAAACTACACTTAAGAATAAACGCAATGTATTTGAACCAACAACATTATTTTATTTTTCTTGTCCACATTAACACCTTCATGGTGTAAGCCAGAAAACATTTGTGATTCCCCTCGGCTAATGGCATCAACAAAAATAGTCAGGAGTTGGCAAACCTGGAGTCCAGTCATTGAAACAGATTGGAGGTGTGAGTAAGAGCTACTCTGTCTTATACTCTTACTGATTTGGGGCTGCTTTGCTGCCTTTGGGCCTCCACAGCTTGTCATTATCAAGAGGAGAACAAATTCCCAAGTTTATCAGTGTATCTTACAGGATAATGTGAAGGTACTTGGCCTTCAGCTAAAGCTCAGTAGAAGCTGGGTGATGCAGCAGGACAGTGATCCTAAGCACTAAAATAAATCGCAGAATGGCTGCAGAAAATCCCCCTTTTGGAGTTGCCTGGTCAGAGCCCAGACCTCAAGCCAGTAGGAATACTGTGGAGTGACCTCACAGAGTTGTTGACACCAGACATGTGAAGAATATTGCTGAGCTGATGCAGCTCTGTGAGGAAGAATGGTCCAAAATTCCCCCAGAACAGGTCTGATCCACAGTCTATTCTTGCAACTTAGTTTGAAGATCATGTCACATTTTATAACCAATTAATACAGAATAACAGGGAAGTCCAAGGGGTTCACTGTACATAACACTTCATATGACTAACAGCAATTTAAAGATTTTTTTCCTTTTTATAAATGATATTTTCTACTTTTAATTCTGAATCAGAAAAACACTAAGGTTGATTCACAAAATATGTAAGAAAAACAGTATAGGCTGTTATGACCAATGAAATGACCCTGAATTGTGTAAAACATTTGTGTATTAAAATACTGTATGTACCCATGAATCCTTACAATGTACCTCAATATGTCTGCAGTGTAACATCCTCTGAGAAGGTGGACAAGGCCCAACGCTATGCAGACTTTACCTTGATCTCTGTGCCTTATCCAGGTAAATGATGATAATTACAATTGCCTTTTTTTAGTCACTCCACTAAAGCTAGACAGTTAAGTCAACTTGGGCTAATGCCATTTAACTGCAGCATATTGCAGATGTACAGACAGGTGACAAAGTAAAGAAAAACCTTGAATAAATGAGTGGTTTCTTCCAGGATGACAGTGCCCCTATCTAAGAGGTCACTGAATCGTTTGATGAGGGTGAAAATGATGTGAATCATATACTGTGGCCTTCACAGTCACCAGGTCTCAGCCCAGTTGAACACCTCTGGGAGATTTTGCTTGACAGTGTCTCCAGCACCATCATCAAAACAACATAAGAGGGAAAATCTTTTGGTAAAATGGTGTTCATCCCTCCAGTAGAGTTCAGAGACTTGGAGAGTCAATGCCAAGGTGCATTGAAGCTGTTCTGGTGGCATGTGGTGGCCCAGCACCTTCAGAGACACTTTATGCTGGGTTGGCCTTTCATTTCTCACCTGCATACAGTACATGTATATATCTGTAGATAATCACAAGAATTGTAGTACTGCAATGCCACAGGCCTTTTAAAGATTCCTAGGAACAGAATTGAGCTATGTGGCGGCTATTGCCTAGTGGCTACAGACAAACAAGACAAATAAATAAAATTAATTTCTTTGATGTTTACTGTACTAAATTGGAATAAATAGATATTAAAAAAAACTGTACAGATATCTTACTTGTTTTTTTTTTTTAATAGACCCTGCAACAAACAAATAGGAACAGCAACAACAAGCATAAAGACAAGAATAGCTTTTATCGTCAAATCAAATTTTAGAATTCAGTTATAAAAAACGCAGAGTAAACTGTGACCGCTTGGTACCAAAGACATCACCAAATAATTGTTGAAATTATTTGTCCACTACTGCCATTATAGAATTTACACTGACCAAAAGATAAATAATAATAATAATAATTATTATTTTTTGCCTCTGTGGTGGCAACAGCCATGGCCAAAAGCATTATGTTTTCAGGTTGTCCCTCACTCCATGATATCTCAGGAACACCTTGAGGGAGTTTCAGATTTGGCACAAGTGTCCACTTAGACTTGATGATGAACCGATTTGATTTTGGTGGTCAAAGGTTAAACCCACTGTGACCTCACATCTGTCCCATTCACATCAGTGCAATATTTCAAGATTGCCTGGAGGGAATTTCATTACAACTTGACTGGTGGGAAGAGGCATACAGCAGTGAGGTGGTAATTTTAGTTAACAACATGAAACTGCATTTAAAACCTAATAACATTTTTCCCATAAGAAGACTAAGAAATTAATATTATGCATCTTGTTAAAAAAAAAAAAAAAAGTACCAAAGTTAATCCTTCCATCCATTTTCTTCCGCTTATCCGGGACCGGGTTGCGGGGGCTGCAGTCTAAGCAGAGATGCCCAGACTTCCCTTTCTCCAGACACA